CACACACACACACACACACACGAACACACACACACTGACTGCAGAGAAGTAGCAGATGTGATGAATCAGAAAGAGCTACACCCAGAACCCACGAGAAGAAAAACAATCAACATTTAAGTTTAAATAAATTATTTTCAGATTTTTCCTGTATTTTGAATAAAACCGGACGGCTTGTTTCCCCTGCAGGTGACGGCCAGAGGTTTCGCTCCGCTGCTTCAGTTCGCCTACACGGCCAAGCTGGTGCTGAACAGAGAAAACATCCACGAGGTCATGCTGTGCGCCGACCTGCTCGGCGTGCACAACCTGGAAGACTCCTGCTTCCAGTTTCTTCAAGCCCAGCTGCAGAACGACGGGGCCAGCAACGGCCTGGTGGAGTACGAGGACGAGGACGCGGTCTTCTCTGAAGACGTTTGTCCCCCGGAGACGAAGCAGCGGCCCGGCCTGGCAGCTGACGCCGACCCGCGGCCTGATGATCGTCCCGAACCCTGGGAGTACCAGGTCTGTGAGGACAAACGCGGCGAGGAGACTCGACACGCCGACCCAACGCTGCTGGGCTCAGAACCAGAGGACGGCGGCGCTGCCTCGCAGACCCTCCTCACCCCCTCCAGGATCAAAGAGGAGCCGTTTCCGTTTGAGGGCGCGGTGCACGACAGGAACGGCTCCAACCCGGAGTTTGGTAYGGAGGAGGTTCTGGAGATGGAGCTGGAGGTGGAAGGAGTCCCCGTGTTGGCCCAGCCCTCTGCAGGCCAGGAGTTAGCCTCGTCCTGCTTGCGCTCGTACCTCCAGAGAGGCGGTCTGGATCTCAGCAACATGTCCAGCAGAACCATTCAGGAGCTGCTCACCAACCAGCTGTGGAGCAAGGGGGATGCTCTGAACCAGGCTGACCTCAAGACCAGCAACAGGGACATGGACTGGTCCAAGACCTCCTCCTGCCAGCAGGAAGGGGAGCTGGACCGATGCTCCGTCATCTTCTCTGCAGCCGGTGACAGACAGCCGGCGGCTCGTCCTTACATGGAGGACAATATCAAAAACAAAAACTCCACCCTGATGCAGGAAGAGGCCCCGCCCTCCAGATGCCCCGTCGCCGTTAACTCTCCAGCACYGTCTGAACCCAGAACCCAGTCTTCCAGCTCCTGCTCCTCCGTCTCTTATCCAGATGAAGTGGCCAATGGCAGCTCTCTGTCCGGCCTGCCCTTTGACCTCTCCTCGTTCGCGCAGCCGCCTCGCAGCCTGGTTCAGATGGTGGAGGCCCGGACCCCCCTGGGCAAGGAGCTGGTTTTCTCTCAGGACTGCGCCAAGATCAAAAGCGAGGGCTTCGGTACCAGCGGCGGGAACTCCAGCGATGAGTCGGGCTCGTTCTCAGAGGGCGACAGTGAAGGTGGCGCCAGAGTCTCTGGTCCTGAGGTCAGTTTGGTTCTTCGTTCATCTCCATCTGTGTTGGGTTAAGATCTGGTTCCTCCAAACACTAACCAGGTCCGGTTTCTCCAAACACTAACCAGGTCCAGTTCCTCCAAACACTAACCAGGTCCGGTTCCTCCAAAAACTAATCAGGTCCGGTTCATTCAAACACTAACCAGGTTTGGTTCCTTCAAACACTAACCAGGTCCGGTTCCTTCAAACACTAACCAGGTCCGGTTTCTCCAAACACTAACCAGGTCCGGTTCCTCCAAACACTAACCAGGTCCGGTTCCTCCAAAAACTAATCAGGTCCGGTTCATTCAAACACTAACCAGGTTTGGTTCCTTCAAACACTAACCAGGTCCGGTTCCTTCAAACACCATCCAGGTCTGCTTCATTCAAACACTAACCAGGTTTGGTTCCTTCAAACACTAACCAGGTCCGGTTCCTTCAAACACTAACCAGGTC